TGTCATGCCGGTGCCCGAAGGTTTAGTATCTGCCAAACAATGCTCGACGACCAGCGAAAAACAAGAGCCGACCCACACGCCAAGTAGTGTAAGCTTTGGCACAGACAATGTTTATGGTGGTGTCGTGATGCAAGATGTGTACGGTATCCAAAAAATGAAATGCAGGTCTAATGTTTCTCCTTTGCGCACATCCCCACGCAGCTGCTACTCTTTCTCAGTTATACTTGTTTAGTCTCGCTCGCGGCCCGATTTGCAGCTGCCCAATAGGTCGTCCATTCGCGTCCACCTTTATCGGAAACTTTTTGCTACTCTCGTCAGCCGCGACACGCTTGCGCTTGCTTGCTGGGGGGTCCAGCGACCAGTCTGAGACAAACTTGGGGCGCTGCGGCACTGCGCCGCTGCCAGACGCCATCCGTGCCTGTGAGCTGAACGTCGACCGCAGCCGGAATGTTTTCGAGGACACACGGGACGAAGCAACAGATGGTGCACGCGAGGAGTGCGATGCGCTGGGCGCGGGCGTGGAGGGTCGGGACGGCGAGCTGTCGAGGTCGATGTCTTCGGCGTATACGACGCTGGAGGTCTCCCAGCTCTGGCTTCGGGACGAGCCCTGCACAAACTCGCCGAAGGCGTCCAGCGGACCGGGCTCGTCGAACGAGTACTCGATCTGGCTCTGCTGCCGGAGATCCTCGTTCTCTTGCCGCTGCTGCTCCGCCGACTCGCGCTGCGTCTCGAGCTCCGCCGTCGTCTTTTGCAGGTCGGCCTCGAGGTCGGTGACCTTGTTTCGTAGGCGGCGTTCCTGCTCAGCAGTGAGCACCGCAGCGAGCCCCAACATACAGAGGCAAAACGTACCGTGCTTCTCGCCTGTTCAGCCTCCATCTGCAGCCCGGCAATTTTCTTCTTGTCTGCCTGCTTCGCGCCCTCGAGCTTCTGCACCTCTCCTTTGAGACGCGCGGCCTCGCTCGCGCCGCGGTCGGCCGTGGCGATCGCATCTTCCAGCAGCTGTTCCCGCTTCGACGCCTCCTCGTTCAGCGTTCCAATCTCTTGCCTGAGACGCGCGCGCTTCCGCTCGCTCTCCTGCACGAGCCGGTCCCTCTCGCGCAGCGCACCGTACGCTTTGCACACGGTGTCGCGGAGGAAGGTGGCGACGGCCAACAGGAGCGCCTTGACATGGTCGTCCTTCTCGTCTGTCTGCATGCTCCCGAACACCCCGAGAAGACGCTCCGCGGCACGCTGCACCGACTGCGAGCTGCACGCATCGTCGAGTGCCTTGATGCACTCGACCGCCTGCCGCGCCCGCTTATGCACCTGCTCGGCATACCCGCCTGCCGATAGGGTCATGGGTCCGCCTGTAGGCGGGTCGGTCGCCATTTCTGTTTCCTCGTACACCGTCTCGGACTCCTTAGCGTCCGGCCGTGCGAAGCAGCCCTGCAGGAAGAGCGGGAGCAGGTGGTCCCCCAGCTCCAGCTCAGCGCGGCAGCTAGGGCACAGCCGCTTGCGGAAAATGCGTGGATATCGGTCTCCCCTCCGGGGTGGGTTCAGCGTGGTGAACCAGTTCTCCAGGCCTGACTCGCAGAATACATGGCCTGAAGTTCTCGTTCAATTTCGGCTGCGTTTAGAGGCTGAAGGAGACTTACCGCAGGGCAAGCCGCGCATTGACTCAGGAGGGTGGTAACCTGCGCATATAGCACAGTATATTCGCAGCATGTCCTTGCTTTGCGCTTCGCTGGTGATCTCTTCCGACATGGGTACGAATAACTCGCTCAGGATGACGCAGGAAGAAATGTTGTTAATATTCTGCGCAAGCAAGACTCTATTTAGCTCAAACCAGCAGCCTGTATATGCGGAACTGAGCGAGCACCTTTTGGTGTTTCGGAAGGAAATCTCCGACAAGTGGGGTGGTGGGAAGAAGGAACAGGCGCGCGAGGCAGCGACGCGGCCTGGCACGTGACCGCGTTGAGACATCAAAATGGGCGTCTCCTGTCTCTTGCAGATTCGCACCCCTTGTTCTCTCTTTCCTCGACGCGAACAGCGGCGGTATCGACCAACAAAGCGCCGCAGGGAACGTCTCGCGCTACCTCGACTACCGACAACTCCTACTATTTACAACTCCGGGCGTCACTTCCCCACAATCACCGCTGTCCTCAATGTCCGGCACAACGTGTATCATTTGTCTTGAAGATGCACAATCCCCGGTTGTCGTCCCGTGTGGCCACATTCACTGCGAGGCGTGCCTCATAAAATGCATCGAACTATGCAACAACGCTGTCGAGTGCCCCTGCCCGACGTGTCGGGCTCCTTTTACGATCGGTACGTACATTTGCGAGAGTGGCTGATGCGAACACTGACCTTGCGCGCGTATAGCGACCCTGGATCTCCGGTTCGTGCCGCAGAAATACCATGCATTCATGCAACCTGCAGTGCGACGCGTGTATCCTTCGCCTTCCGACGTAGTGCAGACTCTCGAAAAGCGGAATGACAAGCTTCAGACGGACAACGCTCGGTTCCGCGAGAGGATTGACGTCCTGAAGCGCAAGAATGATCACCTACAACGCGATAAACAGCGGCTTATGGATACGTGCGAAGCTAGCCAAGCCGCTGTCGCTAATTATCGCGAGAAGGAGCGTCAGTTACGCGACGACCTCGAGACCGTCTCGGAAGAGAATGGCGTGCTGGAGCTCGAGGTCGCTGATTGGGAGAAGAAGTATAGGGACGTCAAAGAGAAATACAGCAAGCTGAAGAAGCTGCTTGCGGAAGAGTACGTGTCCCTCCAGCTTATGGCAGCATGGTTCTGACAGACGCATGTAGCAAGCAGCGCCCGTCTTCATCGCACGCTAAAAAGCGTAGCAGCACCCAAGCAGCACTTGAATACTCGCCCGGCGAGGGGCCCTCAGATTCGGGTGACAAGAACGATCGCAGGCTCATCATACCGATGCTAAAACGCCCACGACTGGCGGGCGGCAGACGTTCCGCGCCCATAGACGTCGATGCCGCGCACCGGATCGACAACCGCGGCGCCTCCGCCTCAGGCACAGCGGTGGCATACGTCGGCAGACGGCCGCTACCGCTGCGGCTGGGTAGCCCTTCCGTCTTCGACATCATTAAGGTCAGCAGCCTCGACGTCAGTCAGGAGCTTGACGACGAGGAGAGAGACGGTCCAAGCAAAGCCCGGCACTACTACCCGCACGAGAACTCTCAGCAATCGTCTTCGCAGGCTTCTTCCTCCGGTCAGGCGCCACCACATGCTCAGCCATCGCACGCCACACAGGCGGGGCCCAGCCGCTTCGCGGAATATCCCCCCGCGCCAGTGCCACGAAGGTCC